CTTACGTAATCATTGGGTAGGGATCCTGGAATTTGCTGGATCGAGAGATATACAAAAAATGCACCCTCTATGACTAAGTGAGGTCATCTTCAATAATATACACTGATTGCCAACAGCCATGGAACCACCCCAGTATCCGTAAAATGATATTAGGAGTCAAAATAGGTCGAAAATCACTTCAGATTCGGAATCAGGATGCCCAATTCACAAACTATTCATATTTTTCCTGGAAAATTGTCAATTCTGAAAATTTTTATTACCCTACCTCAATAATTACGTGAGATACGGGGGTGCCTCCATGAGAAGTGAGACAAAATTTAATTTTTCTGAAAATTCTTCAGGGAAACTATGAATAGTTAGTGAATTGGGTGTCCTGATTCCGAATCCGAAGTGATTCTCAACCTATTTTGACTCCTAATTAGGGGTGGGCGATAATGATTTTGAAATATCAATTATCGATATTCATAATCTATCGATATTATCGATTTATCGATATTATCGATATTATCGATATTATCGATATTATCGATAATATCGAGGATATCGATAATATCGATAATTATCGATAATATCGATAAATCGATAATTTTTCTCCAAATTATTATCGATAATTATCGATATATCGATAATTTTTCCCATCCCTACTCCTAATATCATTTTCCGGAAATTGGGGTGGTTCCATGGCTGTTGGCGATCAGTGTATATCATTGAATATGACCTCGAATATGACCTTACTTGGTCATAGAGTGCATTTTTGGTATATTTCTCGCTCCAGCAAAGTTCAGGATCCTTACCCAACGATTACGTAAAATACAGGGGTGTTTCCATTAGAAGTGGGTCACACTGTATATCACAATTTACGAGAATTTGAGATTTATCCATATTTAGTGAAAAGAAGGAAGAATACCATTTGAAATAATGGCGTGTGTAATGTCATTCCAAAGCAATCAACAGTGTGTCCACCTTAAGGACTTACCACCCCTGTAAAATTGTTATTACCTGACCGATTTCAAAAAACTTTTTTTTGTTGGATAGGTATTTGAAATGTCCATCCAACAAGAGAGTGATTATACTCATGAACTGTAATCGTGGCCAACTGCGACCAACTTTATTGACCCATATTTGAGAAAGTACTATTAGGGATTTTTTTTCACAAAAAACAATGATGGATTCTGAATCACGATCACTTGAAAAACACCTTCACTGATTTTTATCATCATAAAACACAGGGTGTACGAAAAAAAGAATTATGCTTTCTTTTAATAGGTGATCAGAAAATGTAGTATTGTGGTAAGAATTGATGACACATTATTATTGAGGAGCACTTTGAACATATCTGTACCGATTTTCATCATCCAAAAATACGATGTGTATGAGAAAACAATTAAAAAGAAAAAGTAGGCAATATTCTTTCATCAACTCAAAAAAAATATTAATTTGATTTTTCGAACACCCTATGTTTAATGATGATGGAAATCGGTACAGGTATGTTCTAAGTGATCCTGATTCATCTTTTTATTTTGAGTGAAGAATTATCAGGATAAAAAATATTGCTTACCTATCCTTTTTAATTTTTTTCTCAGACACATTGTATATTCAAATGACGAAAATTGGTACAGGTATATTTGAAATAATCCTCAATGATAATTTGTGATTATTTCTTTCTAGAAAAACCACAGAACTACATTTGCTGATCATCTATTTGAAGAAAATGATGATTCGTTTTTTCGGACACCCTGTGTTTAATGATGATGAAAATTGGTACAGGTATATTTCAAGTGGTACTGATTCAGAATCCATCATCAAGTTTCGTGGAAAAAAATCCCTAATATATAGTACTTTCTGGAATATGGGTCATTGAAATTTGTCGCAGTTGGCCACGATAACAGTCCAAGAATTAGATCACTCTCTTGTTGGATGGGCATTTCAAATACCTATCCAACAAAAAAAGGTTTTTTGAAATTGGTCAGATAATAACGATTTTACAGGGGTGGTAAGTCCTTAAGGTGGACACACTGTATATTGACATTTGATATCTCGTATTTGGATTGAATATTGATTAAATGGCCGTCATATGGCTTGAAATATCTCGATAAATAGTGGTTTGTTCATATTTTCATTATCAAAATCGTGTTTTTCAGACAAAAATACGTAAAAGTACCAAAAAATATTTTCGAAAAAAATACAATCACATATGATAAATGCAGTTTTACCAAAAATTGTCAAGTGATGAATAGAAATAGGATCACACATTGTAGAATTACTGGTAAAACTGCATTTAGCATGCGATGGGTTTTTTTCCGAAAATTTTTTTTGGTACTTACGTATTTTTGTCTGAAAAACACGAATTTGATAATGAAAATGTGAACAAACCATTATTTATCAAGATATTTCACTATAAAGTTTCAAATTTCACCTTCTTTTCCGCCTGTCTTCTGGATTGAATTTTAAACAATTCACCCTTCTTTTTTCATCATTGGACAATTTATATATATCACAATGTGAGACACATTTTTCTCTATTATTGAGTCAACTAGAAATATGATTTTCTTGTGATTTATCCATATTTATTGAAAAGAAGGAAGAATATCATTTGAAATAATGGCGTGTGTAATGTCATTCCAAAGCAATCTATTGACATTTGACATCTCGTATTTGGATTGCCTATGGATAAAATTAGAGTCCCTGTATATACCTTATCTAAGGTATATCCAGGGACTCTAGATAAAATGGCCGTCATCTGGTATGCTTGCTCACTAAATAGGAAAAACTCACCATAAAAATCATATTTCCTGTTGAATTTTCTGTATAAAAATGTGTCATTGAAGTACATCATGAGTATATAAAGTATCCAATGACAAAATAAGAAGAGCAAGTACCTGAAAATGCATCCAACGCAAGGGGAAAAAGGAGTCGAAATTTCGAACTTTTTTTTGAAATATCTCGATAAATAGTGGTTTGTTCACATTTTCATTATCAAATTCGTGTTTTTCAGACAAAAATACGTAAGTACCAAAAAAAATTTTCGAAAAAAAACCCATCGCATGCTAAATGCAGTTTTACCGAATTACTATTATTGGCCAATAGATTTTTGAACTCGATGTTGTGTTCTAGAAATTCACATTCAAATAAAATTTCGAAATTTGGAAAAAGCAGGAATTTTGGTAATAAAAGTCGAAACATTCGGAGTAAAAGTTGAGATTTTGATATACCTAAACGGCGAATTTTTCACTCTGAAGTCGAAATTTTGGAAAGAAAATTGAAATTTCCAGCTAAAAATCCGAATCTTGTAGATCGGCAAGCAAAAAATATGAAAACCGAGATGAAAACCATGAGAATTGGTGTCGAATTTGATCTAAAAGCATTGATATCAACTCACCGGCATCCTTTCCTCACTTTGGGTTCACTTTTCAATGTTCAAAAATTCAAATTCGAATATCCTAACAGTCAGTTTTCACCACACACACACATACCATCATTTGCGTAGTAAACGATATACTGATAATAGATTCGACTGTTCTCAGATCAGAACAGTGTTCTGTAATCGAATGATTCACAAGTTTTTTCTCGATCTCGATACGATAAACAGTCCCCACTTTTTTCATGGAACATTCCATTAATCGGACGTGAATAACAGAGTATCGAAAGTAAAGTTTGAAGATTTTCAGGACGATACAAATAAAGAAATAAACATGGTGACCAAGTACCAATATAAAATATTTCTAGAATCAGTAAAACTTGAAAAAAGGATAATGGTTCTTTCAATGAACATAAAAAATATGCCCTTCAGAAGGGTCGTATTGAGGATTTATTTCGTCAACTTGTTTCTTGGATACTGAAACAGTTATTTATTTTATTCACGACTAATATATTATACTTGTGGATTTTGAAGTATAATGCCATATATTAATCCCGCAGGGAATAAAGACTATTAATCCCTCGCCATTATTCCCTGCGGGATTAATATATGACATTATACTTCAAAAACCACAATTATATATATATAGTCGCAAATAAAGTAGAGTATACTACTCGCAATAATGGCTATTATTCTCTCGGAATGTTACTCCCTCGCCGCTAACGCGGCTCGGTTCGTAAAAAATCCTCGAGAATAATAGCTATCATTATTGACTCGTGGTATAATCTACTATTATACAAGGGAAAAAAGCTGTAGATTACAGCTCCAGGTTGTGTCCGTGAGCTGAAATCTAATATTTTTCCCGTGTATAATACACTATTTTTTTCTGTCACAGAAGAAAGGACGGATCAATATTGAGAATATATTACATTATTTTGAAATCTGAAAATTATCGATGTGAAATTTCAAGTTTTCAACAGTAGGAACACCTGCGTTGTGCATCTTTATCATTCTTTTGAAGTAATCAAATATCTGATGTCACTTCTGTCAGTCTAATTCTGTGATTTGATTTCAAAAAATCACGAATTTAGTGGTTGTTTAGTAATATAGGTACGTAACCGCGAGTTCGAATGGAAGATAAAAGGACTTGCAGTTCTTTCTCGGAGACGGTATTATTGACTCATTTTTCGGAACTTATTTAGTTTCATGCCGACGTAGGGAAAAATAATACGAAACTTGTTAAGTCAATATGACTGTTTTCATCCTCCACTTCCCGTCCTCATAGATTCAAAAAGTACCTCTCATTTTGTTCCCATTTTTGTTGAGATATCGTATAGGCGATGCGCCATAATATATATATTATATAGAAATAGTAAATATATGGTTTTGCGCTTATCGTACGTAAGGGCGATACGAAATCTTGAGATTCATGCGCGCCGCCACTGATATGCCTCACATGCGCAAAAGACTTGTACTCATTTTGACATTTGACGGGGCGGCAAAAAAGCCAAAAGCCGCAAAAACTTGTCAAAATTCCTCATTCATCGATTCATCTGTGTATTTTGGTGTTTGGTTTGATACCGTACCTGTCGAACTATCTCAACGGTCTTTATTGTATGTACTTTTTTATTTTACACTAATTATGCCTCCAAAAAGACAAAGACAAAGAACTACTCCAGCAGCCCCCGTAGCTGTATCAGCAGATAAAGGTACGTTAATTGTTGATTATAAATACATCTAATAAAAATGTGAAAACATGATTCTTCAATACCGGTCAAGAAAAATAATCTTGTATGATGATGATCATTAAAATACAAAGATATTGGGTGAATTGCTATAGGTTCATCTATCATAGGCACAGTATACAGCTCTCAACCTTCAGTAAAAAATTTTGGACCTGTAGTAGTCACCCAAAAGTTCAGTCTAAAAAAATTATATGTACCTTCCAATATATAATGTTTGATGATAGTCCAAGTCAGAGACTCATGGGTTATAGGTTGAGAGGTTAGTGACTGGTTCTTGCCCCTCATAGTTTTGATGTCTTTCTGGAAATTATGAGAAAGTTAGTTTCAGATGGAGAAACCACAACTGCAGAAACCAGGCCCAAACGCCAAAAAAAGGTTGACAAAGTTGATATAGAAGAAGAAATTCAGCTTGAGGAAGTAACACAGAAAAAGGCTTCATCTTCAAGCATAAAGCAGAAAACAAAAGATTCAAAAAAGGAAACTGGTGAGAAAAAAGCAAAGAAAAAAGATACTGCCAGCAAAACTAATGAAGAAGGTAGGTAGGAGGGTAGGAACTTATTATTGATGCAATTACATACAACATCTAATAATCATGAATATATACCTAGGTAAGTATATCAATTTCATATTCCATGAGTTTGTGTTTAAGATGCTGAAGAAACCAGACCCAAACGCCAGAAAAAGTCCACCAAAATAGATGATCATGATGAAGAAATTCAACTTGAGAAACCAAAAGGAAAAAAGGCCAGCAGTAAATCTAAATCAGATGCAAAGAAAGAAGAAGTCATTGAAGCTATTGATGATGAAGGTAAAATGATGATATTAACAATACCCAATCATTGATTTTCAATATTGATAAATTATGTTTTGATTAGCCTACTAAAAAATAGTAGATTATACCACGAGTCAATAATGATAGCTATTATTCTCGAGGATTTTTTACGAACCGAGCCGCGTTAGCGGCGAGGGAGTAACATTCCGAGAGAATAATAGCCATTATTGCGAGTAGTATACTCTACTTTATTTGCGACTATATATATATAATTTTGGTTTTTGAAGTATAATGTCATATATTAATCCCGCAGGGAATAATGGCGAGGGATTAATAGTCTTTATTCCCTGCGGGATTAATATATGGCATTATACTTCAAAATCCACAAGTATAATATATTAGTCGTGAATAAATATGATTTTCTTGAGATTTATCCATATTTAGGTATTGGCATTTGACTATTTTGATTGACTATTGATAAGTTGCTGTCATCTGGAATGCTTGTTCACTAAATATGAAAAACTTGCCATAAAAATCATTTTTTCTGTTGAATTTTCTATATAAAAATCTGTCATCAAAGTACATCATGAGTATATAAAGTGTCTAATGACACTATGCTAATGATAAGAAGAGCAAGTAGCTTTAAATGTCCCCAACACAAGGCAAAATTTCGAACTTTTTATTGAAGTATCTTGATGAATAGTGGTTTGTTCACATTTTCATTATCAAATTCGTGTTTTTCAGACAAAAATACATAAGTACCGGAAAAAAATTAAAAAAAAAAACATCCCATGATAAATGCAATTTTACTTCACTTTTCAATTTGAGACTTTCTTCAAGTTTTGACTTTTCCAGCTGACTCATTCAAATTCAGATTCATTATAATCCAGACATATTTTTAATTTGAATATTATTCATTTATATCAGATTTCATCCTTCCAATTCAGAATTTTTTCCTTGAAGTTACTTCTTTGAATTTGACCTTTTTCTTCCCATTTTTTTTTGTCTTTAACATTTTTGTGTACTCACTTGATCATATTTCATTAAGTTCAAACTGAATTCAGAATTTATGCTTTGAATTCATACTGCAGCCTTTGAATGGGCCTTTCCAATATTATAAAATTTGACACTTTTTCACTATAATGTTATGAGGGGAAATTTAAAAACATTATCATGACCACATATCATTTATCCTGAAAATGGAACAACAAATGAATTATTCAATATTGAAAATGCTATTTCCAAACCTGTTAATTCTAACGGCCGGGAATCACTCCGCTGTTGCCAGATCTCTATAAAATCCTTGAATTTATCTTATCTGCAAGATGGTACAGGGTGATTCACCATAAATGTCCCCCCCTCTAGCTCATTTATTTTTGAACCGATTTAAAAATTTGAAAAATAATCTGAAATGATTTTTCAGAATTTTTTTCCCGTTGCATCAGAAAATACAGGGTGCTCGGAACGAATGATCTACAGAGTACTGCTTGATTTTTTCAAATGGAACACCCTGTATTCCATTGTATTTTCAGATTCTTCCTGAAGAGCTGATTTCATCAATGCATCACACTTGGGGTCTAGTGGGAATGATTACAGATATATAGGGTGTTCAAAATCGAGATTTTTCAAGTTTAGGATTTTTTTGTCTCGAAACTTTTCATTATTGGTCGAAACGGCTTCCATGTTTCCATCTCAACTTTTGATTTACTGTCTACTGCCATTTAATTGGAACATTTACAGGGTGGTTCAAAATTCAGAATTCTGATCACCCTGTATCTGTTCCAATTATTAAATGTCAGTAGATAGTAAATCAAAAGTTAAGACATGGACATGAAAGCTGTTTTGACCGATGATGAATAGTTTCGTCTCAAAAAAATCCTAAAGTTGAAAAATTTCGATTTTGAACACCCTATATCTCTGTAATCATTCCCGCTAGACCCCAAGTGTGATACATTGACCAAATCAGCTCTTTAGGGAGAATCTAAAAATACAATGAAAAATAGGGTGTTCCATATAAAAAAATCAAATAGTACCCTGAAAATCGTTTGTTCAGAGCACCCTATATTTTCTGATGTAGCGGAAAAAAACTTCATCGAAAATCATTCAAGATGATATTTCAAATTTTGAAATCGGTTTAAAAATACCTGAGCTAGAGGGGGGGACATTTATGGTGAATCACCCTGTACAAGGAATGCAATGATTCAAAAATACTATGTAGTAGGTGATTAGTTGATTGGTAATTCACTGCTGATCACATTCAATTTTCTTTCCATAATATTCCATTAGTTTCAAGATTAACTAGCATAAAAAGAGATGCAGTCATCTAATAGAAAGACACTTTTTATATTTTTAGTTTGGTTATTTTTATAATCAACAAATTGAAAGGTGTAACTTATATCTCAAGCATTCCCGGAAAATATAATTGCTAATTTGGCAACTATGTCTACAAGAGAAACGCATGAAGCAACTGGCGCACACAATGTTGCCAAGTTAAAAATATCTCATTCCCCGCATAACTTCATTGTTCTTATTTCTCGATATTATTGACAAGAAGGTAGTGATGCTTGAACTAAAACCAATAGAAATAGAACCAAGTAAGCAATTTAGTATTGATTGATTCAGAACTTGTTTCTTTACCTATGGTAGATAGGTATAGGTAGGTACATAATAGGTAAGTACCTAAACTTGAAAGTACTATACTAGAAACTGATGTCATGAATATCTGCACTGTTATTCAATAAAAAATGACATTTCACTTACAATTTTGATTGATCCTCTAACAGAAATCAATCAACTAACTGATTATGCAGTGCAAATTTTTAATATCAAGAATTTTTAGGTGAGTAGTTATTAGTTGAGTTATCTAACAGCATCTGTATTATTTGCTAAAATGAAAAAATCCGACTAATCATAGCTTTCTGTCCAAATTGGCAACATTGTCAAATCCATCGTGCATTTAATTGGCACACGCGAGATGAGGGATTTATCAATCCAAATTGCTCGCGTTGAGTTATCTAACAGCATCTGTATTATTTGCTAAAATGAAAAAATCCGACTAATCATAGCTTTCTGTCCAAATTGGCAACATTGTCAAATCCATCGTGCATTTAATTGGCACACGCGAGATGAGGGATTTATCAATCCAAATTGCTTGCACGTTTCGCGACCATGTCTGATATGTTTTCAATATTTCTTATTCGATGAATTGATGGAAAAACCATCTCAAAGAAATATTTTAAGGTATTCCAGTGCCATATATTTCAAGATATATTTTTTCTAGAAATTACTAGGAAGGCCCATTGGTCTTATCTTATGCATTTACCATTTTTCAGATTCATATGTATCTCAAATCAGCAATATTTGTCAAGAGAAGTCTGTATTTGACTCATGTGAAGTTTCGTTTCTCTTTTTAAAATTTATATGGAGTTCTGAGTAGATTTGATGGAGTTCCAGAGTTCCTGACTGAAATTTTGAATAGTTCCAGAAATCGTAGATGTAAATGGAGAAAAATTATTTTGAACGCTAATCTCACGCAGCGCCGTTTTTCTCGAGAAAATGAGTTCTAATATACAGGGTAACTCAAGGTCGATGGTACGTTAGACGTTTATGGAGAACGGGACATTGGATCATTCTGAAATTTTGGTTACTCACGTAGTTGCTCTTGGTCTATCGATCTAAAATATTTTCAGCTCTGCAGCGTTACCGCTTCTATCGAAAAGTAGCAACAACTTTGTTATTTTAAATGGAACACCCTGTATTTTATTGCATTTTCAGATTCTCTCTGAAGAGCTGATTTCATCGATGCATCACACTTGGGGTCTAGCGGAAAAGGGGTCGTGCAGAATTCAGCATCTTGATCACCCGGTATATGTCCCAATTAAATATCCGTAGATAGTTAATCAAAAGTTGAGATGTAAGCCGTTTTGACCAATAATGAATAGTTTCGACAAAAAAATTCCTAAAGTTGAAAAATGACGATTTTTCACACCCTATATCTTAGTAATCATTTCCGCTAGACCCCAAGTGTGATGCATCGATGAAATCAGCTCTTCAGAGAGAATCTGAAAATGCAATAAAATACAGGGTGTTCCATTTAAAATAACAAAGTTGTTGCTACTTTTCGATAGAAGCGGCAACGCCGCAGAGCTGAGAATATTTTAGATCGATAGACCAAGAGCAACTACGTGAGCAACCAGAATTTCAGAATGATCCTATGTCCCGTTCTCCATAAACGTCTAACGTGCCATCGACCGTGAGTTACCCTGTATATTTTTTCGTTGTATTATAAAGAGTTCTGGAGTTCTAAACCTATTTCATCAATATTTCTGATGAAATATGCAAATTATTGAGTAATTCAAGTAGATAAAATACGAAAATGTGTAGGTCTTGATGGAATACTATTCCATTCTCTTTCATATTGAACAGAGAGCTTTCGAGAAAAAATGGGGACAATCATTAAAAAATATAAATTCTGAAACAAATCAGCGGTCATAAGGTGCCTTGATAAAATAACAATTTTGATAACTAATTAATTCCAAAGAACAGAACAGATCTGTTGGAAGTTCTGAGTAGCGCTCGATGAGTGAAAATATTCTAATTTTGATTTAGTGACAACTCCATACTTTTTCATTTATCTGCTGTCATAAGGTGCCGACCTAAAAAAACTTACATATTCGATGAAAAATAAATGACTTTCAAAGAACAGAATAGTTCTTAGGATAGTTTTGAGTAGCACTCAATGAGTTCTTCAAAATATTCTCATTGTGTTCTAGTGACAAATCGATACTTTTTCATTTATCTGCTGTCATAAGGTGCCGACCTCAAAAAAACAAAATTTTCGTTAAACAATCGATTCCGAAGAAATAAACAATTCTGATGGGAGTTCTGATTAGCGCTCCACGAGTTCTTGAAGATATTCTCATTGTGTTTTAGTCACAAAACGATACTTTTTCATTTATCAGCTGTCATAAGGTGGTGAAAAACTAAGATTTTCGATAAACAATCAATTCCGAAGAAATGAACAGTTTTGATGGGAGTTCTCAGTAGCGCTCGACGAGTTCTTCAAAATCTTGATTATTTATCGAAATTGTTATTTTATAAAAAAAATTTTCTGGTTTAATATTTTCTGATGATAAATTGATCATATTACATTTTTTCAAAGAAATTGCTCCAGGAATAACCAAACGCCGCCAGAAAAAAGCACCAATAGACTATGTGGAAGAATCAGACGAAGGACAACCTGCAAAAAAAGTTCAAAAGAAAGCATCCAAAAAAACAAATGCAACTAAATCAGTTAAGGCCAAATCAACTAATGGAGAAGGTAAAATATAGTCTTCATTAAATACTGAATGCTTATGAAAGCATGTTCACCTACCCAGAATGTTTCCTCTAAATATACAATATCTTTGTCTGTTCACCCTAAACATACTTGAACATGTCAAATTCTTAGCTTTTTTTTTGTTCAAGAATTTTCATTCCATCTGCATATATAAGATGAATGACAAGTATTATTATAATTTAGAATTCGACTGTTATACATTATTAGATAATGATTTTTCAAATGAAAAGTTGCTCCAGTAGCAGCCAAACGTCAAAAAGAAGCACCAGTAGAAACGGTGGAGTCATCAGATGTAGGACAACCTGAAGAAAAAGTTCCAAAGAAAGCATCTAAATCAAAAACAACCAAATCAGCAAAGGCCAAAGCAACAAATGGAGAAGGTAAAGTCTAATGAAACCATTCAATCTGACACAGTTGATCATACAATACTTTTACAAAACTTAGAAACAATGGGACTTAGAGGCAATGTGAGAAATATTTTGAATTCATATCTTGAAAATAGGTCCATCAATACAAAATCAACCAACTCTGTGTCAAATAAACTATTAATCAATAAGGGTGTCCCACAAGGCTTTGTTTTAGGACCTATACTATATTTACTTTATGTTTAAAATATCAGTGAAATTGGTCAAGCCAGTAAATACAGTCTGTCCAAGATAAGGTTGCACAGCATGGGGATCTCGGAAACGGTAGGAGATACGAAGTCGGTTAAATGGGGAAAAAGTTGCGCATTCGGAGGCTCATACCAACAGCCTTCGAAAATTTTCAAATTTTTTTTTAGTTTTTCAGTTATATCGAAAAAAGTGAATTTTTGAAATCTCTATTTTATTTTTTTTCTCCGTTGCTATTAGAGATACAGGAAAACTGAAAATACTTTTTCATAGCAACTTTTGATGACGTTTAACGTGGTGTTACCGATTTTTCTATGCGACGTTTAGTATTCGTAAAACCATCATCAACTTTTGTTTTTTAAATACGGCCCTGATAATTCTTTCACAGATTCCGAAAGCTTTTTTTATTCTGAATTCAACCATGTATTATACAAGGTGGTTTGAATGTGTTTCGAACTATTTTTAGCCATCATCAATGTTTTTTTCGAAATTCCAAAGGAAAAATGCCATCAGTTTCACTTATTTCTGATTATTCAGTGTCAAACATTGATGGACTATTTATTCAATACTGAAAAATGAAAAAAAAATCCACTAAATTATTCAATGCAGCGCTTCGAATTGTTTATGAATTGTATTTATATTTTAATCCGAAGGAGCTCGTCATAATTAAATTTTTCGAACTGATTATTCCTCCAAGTCTATCAATCGGAACTAGTTGATGAGGTATTAGTTTGTTGGCTAATTTTCCTTCAAAATAAGTGGAACTGATGGCATTTTTCTTTTGGAATTTCGAAAAAAACATTGATGATGGCTAAAAATAGTTCGAAACACATTCAAACCACCTTGTATAATACATGGTTGAATTCAGAATAAAAAAAGCTTTCGGAATCTGTGAAAGAATTATCAGGGCCGTATTAAAAAAACAAAAGTTGATGATGGTTCTACGAATACGAAACGTCGCATAGAAAAATCGGTAACACCACGTTAAACGTCATCAAAAGTTGCTATGAAAAAGTATTTTCAGTTTTCCTGTATCTCTAATAATAACGGAGAAAAAAAATAAAATAGAGATTCCAAAAATTCACTTTTTTCGATATAACTGAAAAACTGAAAAAAAAATTGAAAATTTTCGAAGGCTGTTGGTATGAGCCTCCGAATGTGCAACTTTTTCCCCATTTAACCGACTTCGTATCTCCTACCGTTTCCGAGATCCCCATGCTGTGCAACCTTATCTTGGACAGACTGTATACCATGTATGCAGATGATACAGTACTTTTATATGAAGGCAAGAATCCTTCAGATTTAGAAAATATGATAAATGAAGACTTGAAAATATTTGAAAAATGACTCCACTCTAACCTTTTATCCATAAATACTAACAAAACAGAATACATATATGATTTTTCACCAAAAAAATTAACACAAAATTTACCTCAACCTTAAAATAAAAAATGTACTCTCGAAACAAACTGACCAGATAAAATATATTGGTATTTGGTTTGATGACAGGTTGAAGTGGGACAAACATATTGATATTCTGACAAAAAAAATATCTCCAATTATTGGTGCATTGAGAAAGATGTCCCAAACTTGATATTAAAATTGCAAACATGGTCCTCTACTCTCATATACTGAGTCAATTTCATAATAATATATTTGTCGGCGTCAATTAGTGAAATTCCCTGAAATGCCTAGTAATTTCACGTATTGTCGGCAAACAGCGTAACTTCCATTTTCAGCCGATACTCTGTTTGCCGGAGAGTTGAGGAAGGAAAATATGCTTTCTGCATATGCATAAGAAGGGAGACTATTTCTCCGCCTAAATGATCCTTCTTCCTAGAAAGTACATTTTTCAGAAAATTCCTTGAGAGAACATTAGAGACTACTGCTACAAAACTACCTGCCTGAAACTATTAGGCAAACGGTGTACGAAATTTAGAGTTATAGTGTTTGCTGGCAATACGTGAAACGACTAGGCATTCCAGAGAATGACGGATTTCACTGTTTGACGCTGACATATTCATTCACAACTCATTAACAAAAAATATGTTATTTGATGTAATAAATCATTTTTTCCCACTTCGAATGTTTTTTGCTTATTCTTATACATTATCGAGATGTTTTGAAAGTGTCTTAATTTTGTTCATTATCCAGAATTTATATAATTAAGTAAATGAGGTTGTTCCAGAGAAAGGCAAAGGGGAGGAACCAAAAGTAGCAGCCAATAAAACAATCACTGACTGGGGATCTATAGAGTATACCTGTTCTAAAAAGAATGGAGAAGGTAATAGCAATTTGACTTTTAATTTTGTGAATCTGTTTCATATATAAGGTAATTACCTCATTGATTGATATAACACATTAAAATTCCAGGAATATCTCGACCACTTTCTGTTGCTTCAAATGTAAAATTCCATTTCAGATTTAAGTATAACCTTTGGTGAAATATTGTAGAAAATATTGTGAATTTGCTTGATCAATAATTTCATTTCTCTTTTCCCAAGAACTATCAGAACTAGAAGAATGTAAAAAATATTATATAGAAGCCCATCAATCAAGCTATAAGTGATACTTGAATGTATGAGAATATCCCTTCTCTTGATATTGGACAAACTCGCCGGAACATAGGAACCCGACTCAAAGTACATATAACGTACTCTCATTTCATTTATTATCCAATTGAACCTCTGATGAAATATTGTAGAAAATATTGTGGATTTTCTTGATCATTAATTTCATTTCTTTTTTCCCAAGAACTATCAGAACTAGAAGAATGTAAAAAATATTATATAAAAGCCCATCAAACTATGAGTGATACTTGAATGTATGAGAATTTTCCTTCTCTTGACTATATTGGACAAACTCGCCGGAACATAGGAACCCGACTCAAAGTAGATATAACATAATCTCATTTTTTTTTTATTATCCAACCGAACCTTTGATGAAATATTGTAGAAAATATTGTGAATTTTCTTGATCATTAATTTTTTTTCTTTTTTCCCAAGAACTATCAGAATTTGAAGAATGTGAAAAATATCATATAAAAGCCCATCAATCAAACTATGAGTGATGCTTGAATGTATGAGAATTTTCCTTCTCTTGACTATATTGGACAAACTCGCCGGAACATAGGAACCCGACTCAAAGTACACATAACCCACTCTAATTTCATGTATTATCCAATTGAAAAATCGAATACTGTTCAGTACAGTATTATTAGCTTTGGCAAGATCATTTAACCCATAACCTTTATCATCATGATGTGCAATCAATAATGCCCAGAATTTGTTCCAATTGTTGATTGTGATACATAGTGGCCCGAGAAATGATATTCGAGTTTCTAAAAGTCGATCAATATCCTCTAAAAGCTTATTCTAATCACAGGAGTATAGAAATAAACAGTCAAAAATTTTTTTTGAAACGCTGCAAAAGTATCTACACAGGCAGGCGCGTTTTCAAGAGGGATGTAATGGGGGTAGTTACCCCGCACCCCCAGACGATCGAAGAGAATTCAGTGTTTCAATCAGAATTAACATTGAGATTTACAAAATGAATCTTATTCCATTCAACACGCAACGTAAACTGAAAAATGCCAAACCTGGAGCGTGCAAGTTTGTTTTTCATTTTGACAAAAATCCCGTAAGCCGCCATGATTTTGTTATTATGACAAAAGTTTGCCGTAACTCTTCCAGCGATAAAACCTTAACATTTATGAAAGCATGACAACCAAAATTGTCAACATATTTATGATGGTGTTGTCAGAAAAGATTATAATCTGTGGAAATTTCGGAAGTCTTCGAGTGGGAGATTGAAAAAACCATCAACAATAATGTGATTTAACATATTCATTGAATTGTCTTACCGACTCACACTATTTTTAAATTGAGAATAATAGAGCATATGATTATTTTTGTATGAGAATGTTTGTTTTGTTTGTTTTAATTTTGTTGAATATAGGTTACCTTTCTGTTTACTAAAAGTACATACCTTTTGGACGTCATAGGTTAATTTCATTATCCCTGGAATTCGCATAGCATATAATAGATCTTGAATAGATCTACTAAAATCTACTGAATTTTTGACAAGATATACTGATGAAATGAAAATCGGCAACCCTGGTCTGCGTATGAGAGCGGGGAGTGAGTTGACAACTGTCATTTGCTGTTGTCAAATTAATTATTCACGAAATCCGATAGATTTCATGTTTCTCGTGTGAATTCGCGGTCGCCAAGGTCATTGATGACGTTGCGATGACATTCATGGTCAGTTCATAGAAATTATTTATATTTAATTTCAACTTATCTTAAGTGTTCAAGCATTCCCTTCACTAAGATGCGTTCATAGAACGTCATTTAACTTATATTTAATTTACTCCATTCCTTATGGGAAATAGAGCTGTTAAATTAAATTAAATATAAATGAGATTCTATGAACAGACAGACCATCAATCTATGCCAGGAATTAGGATGTTTTCCCGTAGTTTTGACTGTCATCGAAACGTCATCTAATGACCTTGGCGACCGCGAAAAGGACCATGGTGTGAATATAAGTGTTTGAGGTAGAAAATATGCACCTCGGCAAAAAAACTGTCTGTTGTCTCGCCTGATTTGGCCGTGGGCGTAGCATGTACTCACAGCGTCGAGTGGGGATAGCCTCAGGTGACTCCAGGTACCTCTGGTTAAAATCTTGAGGTCCCCACTCTTGTCATGATAGCGGTACGTGTGAAAGACCGCGAACGGACACCCATCAAACGGGACTGGAGGATTCCGGTCGACATGGGTAGCTGGGCTCGCTCAGCGGTAACCGGAACTTTGGTTTACCTTGTGCTTTAGTTCGTCAAGGAGGGGGCAGCCCCAGCGATCCTATCGCCAGTCATCATAGGTAAAGCCGGGTCCTCTCCTGTAAACGAGGAAGAGAAACGTGTGAAAGGCCCCGAACGATCACTCATTCAACGGGACGAGAGGATTCTTGTCAACATGAGTAGCAATCAGGCCAAAGCCTCTTGCGACGGCGACCCTTCAAACGTAACAAGAGGAATCTTGTTGACATGGTTACATGGGGTGATGAGGATAGCCCCATCAGGTCGTACATACGACCTGATGCCTCACCAATTTGGTTGGACTCCAGGGGGGTAGAGGTTTCTAAAAAATACCACCGGACTACGGTAGAGGAGGAGAAGAAGAATACCACTATGGGTCAAGTGGGAGGATATCCTGCCTGCCTCGGCGGGGAGCAGCGTTTCTGCTCGGGCATTGACACTGCAGAGCCCGTAGTCTGTTATATGGGACGGCCTCACCATTATATTATAAAATGGTAGCAGGAGAACATGGAGGTGGTAAGGAGTGAATTGAACCCTAATATGCATTATGCAAAAGTTAATAGTTTTTGAGATACTTAATTTTTTTTGTTTTTCTCCAAAAGGTAGACATCAAGGGTTTGAAAGTTAGTTTCCCGAAAATCTGCTCTAAATTTTTTCCAACTAGAATACATGATCAACAATATGGTCTTATGTTTGGAATAACAAAATTACAGAAATAATTTAGATCAAGATAGATAGAAGATAAATTGTAGATAAAAAGTCGTATTTATGTTTGTGAATTGTGGATTTTAACCACATTCTAGCGGTTATTTTTAGAAAAATCTCTGAGCCACATTTGTCAAAAATTTGTTCAAACTTCCTTAAGCCAATAGCTATCTAACTGGGTACTAATGAAACTTAAATTGCTTGATACGGTTTTGTTATTTCAAAGGAATATAAAACCCACTCGAAAAATACCTATCAGTATTAATTTTCGGCAGTTTTTATTTTCGTTTATTTGCTCAAGGCATCCAAATAGCATAACAAATGTTCATAACCTCCATCATTGGGCCGTAGAAAACCCTCGATTAACAAGGGAAACTAGTTTTCAACGGACTCATTGACGGTTGTTTAATGGGACCACATTTTTTCCTAGACAATTTGAAATGTATGAAAATTTTCTACGACATGATCTACAGGAGCTTCTTGAGGATGTTTCTCTCGCCATCAGAGGACGAATGGTATTACAACAAGACGGTTGTTCAGCGCATTATTGGCTGATCGTTCGGCGGTTCCTAGATGAACGTTTTTTGAACCGTTGGAATAGGTCAGATCGAATAGGTTTGCCAGCGCGAAGCCCTGACCCAACCCCCCCTATCAAGCACTTTCATTATAATTTGTACCCAGTTAGGTAGCTATTGCATCAAGGTAGTTTTGAACATTTTTGACAAATGTGGCTTGAGGATTTTTTTAAAAATAATTTATCTATTATCTAAATTATTTCTGGATATTTTTCATTCCAGACATAAGACCATAGTGTTGATCATGTATTCTAGTTGAAAGGTTGAAAAAATGTACAGCAGATTTTCGAAAGATCCACTTTTAAACCCTGGAAGCCTATCTTTTGGAGATAAACAGAAAAAATTATATATCTCAGAAACTATCAACTTTTGTATAATCCATATAGCCCTCAAAATGGATTAGAGTTCTTCGGCTAGCCCCGCCTTCTCTATGAGACTCCATAGGCTAACTTTCAGATCTCCTGTGTATCTATGGGCTCCTGGTTTTTCCTCACCCAGCGTAAGGAACCTTAGTCTTGACAAGCCCTCACAGTGGCAAAGTATGTGTACTGCTGTTTCTTCCTCTTCTTGACAGAACCTGCACAGCAGTTCTTCAGTCAGACCTATCGTACTCATGTGTTTGTTGAGCCTACAATGCCCTGTGAGAAGTCCCACTAGTATTCTAGTTGAACTTCGTTTCTGGCTTAGTAGATATTCTGTGAATGTTGGCGATGGTTTGTTAATAAACTCTTTTGCCTGTCTCATTCCTGGCGAGTTGTTCCACCATTCTTGAGATTTAGTTTGCATCCATGATTTGATACTAGTCTTTTGTATAGCTTTCGCAATACCACAGAAGGGTTCTGGGCCATTAAGAGCTTTATTTGCTCCTGCTCGGGCAAGTGAGTCTGCCTCTTCATTGCCCTCGTACCCTGTATGTGCTGGTACCCATGCTAGAGTCAATCTGTTCTGACTGCCCAGTGCATTTAGGATTTCTAAGCAGTTCCATACTAGTTTTGAGTTAACTTGCATAGAGTTGACTGCTTTGATTGTCGCCTGGCTATCTGAATAGATTGCAATGGTTTTGCCTTTAAACTCTTGCCTTATCAATTCTTTCACGCAATGATGTATTGCAATAATTTCTGCCTGAAACACCGTCGCGTATTTGCCTAAGCTCAGTGAGATTACCACCTCCCCTAACATCACCAAAGGAATGTATCGAATTACCAGTAACCCTGTATGATGAAGTTGGGTAAACTTTTCCCATTAGATACGAAATTCTATCTCTAAAATTTCCAGTTCAATACCTCATAAAATGTTCACAGTTATGAGCTTCCTCTTTTTATTGAAATAGGCGATACGTGTGAAACAATGACTTCTTATTCTCAGATAAACCACACAACTTGATAATAAGCTGTTGGAATGTGGGCGGCCTGAAGAGTTGGGTAGCGAAAGGCTGTTTGGAATATTTGGAGCACGAAAAACCGGACATTTTCTGTATGCAAGAAACGAAGTGCAGCGAGGAAAAGTTGCCCGATCAAATCAAAGATATCAAATTGTACAAACAGTACTGGTGCTCCAGCAAGAAGGAGGGCTATGCGGGCGTGGGGCTGTTCACCATCAAGGAGCCCATCAGCGTGACTTACGGCATCGAGGAGCCCGAAATCGATGAGGAAGGCCGATGTATAACAGCGGAATACGATCAGTTCTATCTCGTCTGTGTGTATGTACCGAATGCAGGTGAGTGTCATTATTGATGACTAGCAGACCCCGCAAACGTTGTTCTGCTATACAGTGTGTCCCACTTACCATGCTCACCATGGGTATCTTTTTAACGGTGAGAGATACGAGGTCGGTTAAATGACACCAAATGTGGAGTTTGTCAAGGCCAACTATAATGTGAAAAAATATTTCGATAAAATCTATTCGTTTTTGTTTTATACGCAAAAAACAGATTTTGTTCATTTTCATGTCTCCTCCGTAACTTCTTTATTTATGAAAATAGTCAAAATAGGAATTTCATATTCTCGTGGCCGTTTTTCAAAGTGATTTCGAAAAAAATATGAAATTTATATCAACTCTTCTAGAATTTGAGATATCAGCACCAACTTCAGTTTTTCAAATGTAGGTCATAGCTCACTATGGCTTAGTTACAAATAACTTTTTTTTCTCTTACAGATGATATGTCGCAGTAATAGTTTTGTGTTGAAAACAACGGAGTTATCGTCATTAATACAAAAACAAAAAATTATTTGGAAGCCGCCATCTTGAATTTATAAATTTTAACAAAAAAATCATGATCTCCGATCTCAAAAACCCCCACTTACCCAATTTTGAATGGAATCGGACCAAATCTTGTCCGCCATCTTGGAGTAGCCATTTTTTTTTAATTTCAACAAAAATTCCCTAATGTATTGTCACCAAAATTATGAACACCTGCCAAATTTCAAGTTAATCGGAGTTATGGAATTTTTGTTGAAATTAAAAAAAAATGGCTGCTCCAAGATGGCGGACAAGATTTGGTCCGATTCCATTGAAAATTGGTAAGTGGGGGTTTTTGAGGTCGGAGATTATGATTTTTTGTTGAAATTCATAAATTCAAGATGGCGGCTTCCAAATAATTCTTTTTTTTGTATAAATGACGATAACTCAGTTGTTATCAGCACAAAACTATTACTGCGACATATCATCTGTAAGAAAAAAAAAGTTATTTGTAACTAAGTTATAGTGAGCTATGACCTACATTTTTTTTTAGTTCACTTGAATTTCCCAATTTTGACGAAAGAATCATAATATCCGACTCCTAAAACCCCAGATGAAAATTTTGAATTGAATCGGAACATAATTACAAATCTCGTCCGCAATATTGGATCAACCATCTTGAATTCCCTAGTTTTGACGAAGGAATCATAACTTATGATCCGGAAAACGCCCACTTACAAATTTTGAATAAAATTGGTATATAATTATAAAACTCGTCCGGTATATTGGTTCCACCGTCTTGAATTTCCAAATCCCGCCCTTCCAAATTTTGACAAAGGAATCATAATCTCCTACCCCGAAAATACCCAGATAACAATCTTGAAGAGAGTCGGACCATAATTACAATAATAGTCCGCCATCTCAAATTTCCTAATTTTCACGAAAGAATCATAATTTCCGACCCAGAGAACCATCAGATACCAAATTTGAATGAAATCGGATCCTAATTACAAGATCCGCCATTTTGGATCCGCCATCTTGAATTTCTTAATTTTGACGAAGGAATCGTAATCCCCGATCACGAAAATCCCTAGGTACCAATTTTCGGATTGTACTTACAAAATTCGTCCGCCATATTGATTCCGCCATCTTGAATTTCCAAATTCCGCCCGAATTTTCAAATTCTGACGAAAGAATCATAATCTCCGACCCCCAAAACCCCATAGATTCCAATTTTGCATAGAATCGAGCCATAATTACAGAATTCGCCCGATATATCAGATCCGCCATCTTGAATTTCCTAATGGTACCGGGATAAAAATATCCTATAACCTTCTCCTGGTTCTAAGCTACCTCCCCACCAATTTTCAGCCAAATCGATCCGGTAGTTTCGGAGCCTATTCAATATATACAAATAAACAATCATCTTTCCTCTTTGTAATATTAGTATAGATGAAAAATTCCACTTATACAAACTTTTAATTGAAAGCAAATACATAAATAAAGTATTTCCTATTGAACCTAAGTGAAAATTACAGAAGTTTTAGAAAAAACTTGCAGAGAAACAAAAAAAAATTACTTGAGTTTATTATCCACTGAACATTTTCATGAAATTAATCTAAAAATGCATCACTATGTCACTATCATCAGTAATTTTATTTGATGTTGAAGCTGAAGTTAGTGTTCTTCTGTTTATAGAAGGCAACCTGTTTTATAATGAATGATGATTAGGTGGAAATGGCATGTGCTTCTTTTCCACTCCTTTGAGAGGTTCCTCGGTCTGGATACATTGATAATCTCAAGCAATATCGCACAAGTTAGGCGGCTTTCCTTCTGAAGATTTTTCGATATCCATCTCAACAAAGAATGGAATTTCATTATACTACATTTCTGTATGGAAAATGGAATGTGGTTTATCTTTGCCATTTTATCTGCAACTAGTTGAAATTAGCCCCTTCAGTGTTGGTCTTTCTGTTGAAGATAATTGATACCAGTTCTTTGTGGAAAAAAATTCATGTCCCTTCACATTTCTCTTATTTGAAATGGATTCTGGATCTGTGTAAACTTTTTCCCAAACAAAGTGTCACTGACAAACCATCGGATTTTTCTTTTAGGCTTCTTGATAGAAAAATTTGTTGTAGGCAGTGACATTTTTGGGCAAATCATCTGATTTGTCCTACTACAAATACATATACATATTATAACAGATATCATCAAATACTTCGATGAATCTTCAATATAAATTATATTCCTCAACTGGAAGATTTATTATTTTTTATTAATAATGTTTTCATCTCACTATAGCAACATAACTTATTCAAAATAAAAGATAAACTGATAATACAGAGTCGTATCCTACAAAACTGTATTGGCATATGTTCATTTCAATGCAGAAGATAAAGAAGAAACAGCACATATTAGCAATATACGTCAGTTTCATCCCAGGAGTGATGATTTCTTTGGAGGGTCCTTTATTCATTCCTTCTTGTTCGTTGGATATCTGTAGGGTTTCAGTTTGATTATTTTAGAATTTGGACGTAAATCAAAGTCAATTACAAAATTTGAAGATTTTGTATCATCATATCTCAATAAATTCTTGAAATTATCTTCAATATATTTGTCTGTAAATTCTATTTTTGAATTTCCATCACATTCGTTAAGTTTGAATATTTTCAGAAATTTCAAGGTATTTCTTCCAATGATCAAATCGAACGGTACATTCTCTACTATTGCTGGAGTGATCATAATGACTTCTTGATTGAATTCCAGTTCCAATCTACATTTCTCATAACATCTTGTTAAACCTGCCAAGCTTCGGATCGCAATATTTGTGGGAATTACCGGAATTTTAAATTTATTTATCACACTCTTACTGATGATATCAATATTCGAACCTGTATCACATAAAGCCTTCACTTTCAAACCATTTATTAGTACTTCTCTTGTATTATCATCATTCATTCGTTCTGAATAGTTAGAAAATGTGCAATAAATTTCAGTGTCATTTATTTCATTCCCATCACAATAATATTGGTATTTGCCACATTTCTATTTTCTGATCATCTTTCCTGAATTCTATCTCCACTTTCCAATCCTCTTCTTTCTTGAAACCTCATACTACTTCCATTTTGATTATCACGACTCCTGTCTCTCCTTTGAAATTCATTTTGTGTTCTTCCTGTATGAACGTCGAAACTTTGAACTCTTGGTTTCACACATTTCAAAGCATTCAATAAATCGACTTTATTTTTCATGTCCTTATTCGAAATTTGCCTCTGGATATGATATGGCAAGCCAATAACTATTGAAGCCAATGTGGATTCCTCTGCCATTTTCGAATCAGCCCAAGACAATAATCTTTGTTTTTCAAAATAATATTCAATGATTGATCCATATTTGAATTGGAAATTCAAAGCTTTTTCCCATTTAGATATAGTTTCTCCATCAAAAGTTGATATAAAACTATTTTTCCACTCTTGCCAATCCATATTATTCAAATTTGTTCTGAATCTCTCTTCATACCATTTCAATGCGATTCCTTTTAAATGCGATCCTAAATTGAATATCTTGTCCGCATTTGACTCCCATTTATTAGATCTTCCAGCAAACTCATATGAATTGATCCATGAATACGGGTCTTCATTTATGCCGGTGAAGGGAGTTATCTTCATTTGATTTCTACCTGCCGTGGTCATATTGAGCCATTTCTCCATCATCATATTCAAGTCGTTTTTATCTATTCTGATATGGTTATCAGTGTCATGTTGGATGTCATTTTGATGTTCATGGTTCCTGATATTTGGAGTTTGGTCACTTTCAAAATCTACGCGTATAAAATCTCCTGCTGCCGACTGCGCCGTTTATAACATATATCATCAAATACTTCGATGAATCTTCAATATAAATTATATTCCTAAACTCGAAGATTTATTATTTTTTATTAATAATGTTTTCATCTCACTATAGCAACATAACTTATTCAAAATAAAAGATAAACTGATATAGATAATACAGAGTCGTATCTACACATATTGAAATAGAACTCATATTTTTGTTTTGTATTATGTGTTATTTAATTGGCACTGTTCACATTAGGATGTATCCTATCTTGAATGAATTCTATTCTATTGACCCGTCAAGGCCGTAAACTCGTTACCCTACCGAAACGCCTCGACTGGAACTCGGCCTTCAAAGGCTACGTGAACCGTTTGGAGGCCCGCAAGCCGGTCATCATCTGCGGCGATATGAACGTGTCGCACCAGGAGATCGACCTCGCTCGCCCCGCCAGCAACAAGAAGAACGCCGGGTTCACGCAGGAGGAGAGAGACGGAATGACGGACTTTTTGGGCGAAGGGTACGTGGACACGTTCAGGGAGCTGTACCCGGATAAGGCGGACGCATACACGTTCTGGACGTACATGGCCAACGCTCGAGCGAAGAATGTGGGATGGTGAGTAATAATATAATAATAATATTTTTCTACTCACATAACTAAAATGGCATTCAGCGTACGGAGGATATGTAACACGCTAAATGATCGATTAATCACGAATTGACGATCTGTGATTTATTCAAAATATTAAACACGTTACCATGGCAACATGATTTCTTGAACCCATTACCATGGCAACACAGTTCATTAAACACAGCTTCAGTAATTTGAGACATGTCTGGCCTGTCAATTGTATTAACTGTCAACTGTTATTTTCAAATTTTGTATCAGAATTATTCTAACAATATTCGTTTGTTTGTATCAGAATTCTTCATTAAAAATATATGCGAAATGTAGATGATAGTGAAATCAAAGAGAATGTTCTGGTACTTGCATATCTTCAACAAGTGTAAAAATGAAGCATCCATCTTTGAGAACAATTTATTTATTCTGCGCTAAACATGACAATAAACGTGAAACAAAGGTTGATAAGCAATGGACTGGACACATCTACTACCAACATCACTTATACGTGGCTGGTTGCATGCAGTTGCATGTATTATGTTCTCAATTCCCATTCCATTTGAATTATTTTGTAGGTTTGCAGGAATTGCAGGGATGTTAATGTAATTTTCGGAGTTCGTAGAAAAATCATAGTATGTAACGCGTTTATAAACTCGTCTAGACACTCGTTTATTAAACACTCGCTCCGCTCTGCTCCGCTCGTGCTTAAACTACTCGTTACTAAAAGGACGTCAATAACACTTGTTACATAATATACTATTATCCAACACATGACAGTTATGACTGTCATTAATAATGTCATTTTAGACAAGTAAACTATCAAATAACACACTAGTGTGTTATAATCCATAACTCACTAGTAAAACATTCGTTGGTTCATTGGAACCAGATGCTCCCATATCCGTACAGCTGCTGATAGTGCTGGAAGACGCCGACACATTAGAACCTTGTATTTTTTCTGCAATTTGTATTTTGTCATTCACCGATTCTTCTAGGTATCCTTCTGCTATCGGCGAAGACTTCCATCCTCCGTGACGCTTCAAAGTAATCATGTTAGTCCCTGCATTGGCCAAAAGAGTCGCCGAAGACTTTCTCAGGCAGTGACCGGTGTAGAGTGCTGTTTCCTAGAAGCTCTAAAACTTTGCAATTCTTGAAGGTATCTTCGACAACGAATTTTTTCCCCACACACTGGCTGGTACACCTCCCATTTTTGTAAAAAACAAAGAAGCAGCTAGAACTAGTATTCTTTAATCTCAATGACATGTATTTTTTACACAAATTGATCGGGTTGACTGGAAATCCTTTTATCAGTATGGTAGAACTCCTCGATTTCTTGGTTTTAGTGTCTGGCAAAACTACGTGAAAATATCTCCCTTTGTCTTAAATATTTTCTATTTTCAAATTGACTAATTCATCTTATCTACAAGCACCGCTAATCCCCATTATCAAGCCACTTTCATCAACAAGTACTCGTCATCTGGAGCTTCGTTCAAAAATTTCTCTATTTCAGGTCGTTCTAATGTCTTGGACTTCTGTGGTTTGTATCCCTGTGATTTGCTCTTCAAAAAGCTGGTTAGTTTACCATATTTTGAAATGTCGATTTTTTTATAAAGGTGAATAGTCGAGCGGAGCATCGAGTATTTAGTCCATAACGACGATGGGGCTAATTTTTTTGCAAATGTAAAAAATAAGCCAATAGAACGTTTTCACTACTTTAATCAAAATGAAAAAAGTCACTGTCAAGTAATTCTGACATAGGGTACTGAGACTCATTGTGATATTTTCATTCACGGAAACTATGAGAGAAAACCCGAAAAAAAATCGGCTCCTTCAACCTACAGACAGTATTCAAAATACTTTACACATGCTCTTTTTATTGTTCTTGTTTTATATCAGTTACAAAAAACTCTTATAATATAAGATTGTGATAAGAGCTGTTAACTCTGGAAGAAATCTAATCTTCAATTTGATAAGTATGTGACCTTGAATTCCAGCAAATATTTTACCTGTGGCACGTTTTTTGCCCTATAAATTGTCTGTGTTTCTTGATCCCGCGCCATGGTATAAACCTCTGGCAAGAATAATTTGCGTATAGACAAACATTGTTCATGGGCATTTTAACGAAAAGACAAAAAAGTGACGTTGCCATACGCTTCGTATCGCAGGTATAACCTGTAAATGAGGCCAGCCGCAACTTCGGTTTCAACCCATCTGGCGCCCAACGTGGGGATGGTAGAAAAAATATAACTACTCCATTTTGGGCCAAAAAATATTCATTTAATTATTGGTAATTAAGATGAACCACCCTGCCTTAATTTTTTACCATCAATGAAAATATTCAAGTGATGTTATATTTTTGTTTCAGGCGTCTGGATTATTTCATCATTTCCAAGAAGATAATGCAAAAAGTTTGTGATAATGTTATAAGGAGTGAGATAGTAGGCTCAGATCATTGTCCTATAACCTTATTTATTAATATCAATGCAGAGGGCCCAAGGGCAATTACCAAATAAGTATTATATTAGAATTTGAGATTTGAATACATGGGAATTCTGGATTCTAGCTGTTAGTTTAGCTGGAAATATTTTGTCTTCAAAAAAAAAACAATTCGGAATACTCCACATACAGGAATAAAGCTCGTCATCCTATGGATGGAATTTTAAGATGTATAATGTAGGCATTTGTTTTGTTTGAATCATTTTAGTTTGTAAACTGTCATACTGTTTGACCTATGTAGATACTAACTTATTTTGGCACCAAAGTCTATTTTGCAGTTACTTTTATATTATGGAATATGATTGTTGAGTGAAAAATTAATAATATACATTTGTATTTTCGATTCAGTGCATTTTTATTGTTATACTGTGTCCAAGAAACTGAAATTTGCTGACTTCGTTTTCATTTTTTTCTGACATTACCTAACCTTTTCATTGTGGATGGCTCACAAATGAGTCATTTTATTTTCGTGTCATGCCGATGACTCATTATTGCGAAAGGTCTAACCGTTTCGCTGCTGTGGCCGCATTCGATCCTGTGTAAGTTATTTATTCATTATTTCTGAAGTGACAGCGTTGCCACAGCTTGTTCTGTCACTAGTTCACTGTCTCGCTTTGTCAAATCTCGATCTTCCACCTCTTCTAGTAGGAGTACTAGGCCACGCAGATGCTATAATGACATAGATGGCCTGACACAAGCAATAATAAATACAATGTTTCTACCAACTAAGAATTCGACCTGATAGCCTTGAAAACTACAAGGTCCCTTCAAAAATCATAATTAATGTGGTTGACTAATCTCTGATATAGGTAACGCGCTTGGTCGGTTGCATGGTTCTCTCTGTTAATTCAGGGAGGAATCAACTGGTGATAAGTTTCCCATTCCTGTGTCGTATTCAATTCATATAGAATATTTTTTCAAAATTAATTAATATAGTCACTCTAGAATGCCTAATAGAGGTAGGTCATGGGTACATTTGTAAATCACAAGATCGTATTTGAGGTATGTCTTGGATCTATGTGAGATATAAAATAATGTATAGCATCAATGATAAATTTTCAAGCTTCTTTGCAGATGACATGGATTAGCAACAGAATACCCAAATTACCTCAGTACTCAAGGAATCAAAGCCTCGGTTCGGAGCGCACTGCAGCAAAAGGGTTGAAGAGCGAGTTGAAGAGATCTAGGAAAACAATACACTTTTTAAGCACTACAAAACAGCATTGAGATTTTCCGTACGATGTTTCATTTCGGAGAAACCATCATCAATTTCCTTTTTTATTCATCTCTCAATGCTGTTTTGTAGGGCTCAAAAAGTGGTTATGAGAAAGTTTCTCTGGGTTTTCCTATGTCTCTTTAATAACGTCATGAAAACAATAAAAACGAAATCGGCAACCCAGGCAACCAGTTGACGTTCCAGTGAGTATTTTTTACGTCACTTGAATGACCAAGGTGACGTCAGTAGTTGACGTGGCATTAACGTGATAATGACGTGAATAAGTCACAGCCCAATGACGTCATATTACTCACGTCATATTGACGTCATTCACTCACCAAACTGTGACGTCCGACTGACGTTGAAATGACGATTGAATTTGGCGATGATACGTAAAAAAGATTCCTTTAACATGGTGTGATTAACACCACTAGCCTCTGATGACATTATATAATATTGATTATGTATTGTTGAGTCTGCTTGGTGGGTCCCTCATGTGTCATGTTAATTCAATCGCCTATTCAGCAGCACCATCCTTCAGTACGCATCTTCATCAGAATGCAATCAGTTACTCGTATTTGTATCAAAAATTATGTAGTTTGTGTCGGCGAGATGTAAGTAAACAAAGAATAGTTTGATATCAATGGAAAGGATGTTGGCGAATTTGGCTTCACTTTGTTGAATAATGTAGATTGATGCATTCTTTGTCACCCAACAGAATTCTAAATAGTAAATTATTGAAAAATTTCCTAAATGACGAAGCTCACCAAATTGGTACGTCACAGCGACGTGATTTTTAGACGTCATAGATACGTCACTGCAACGTCATTAGAGTAACGGTTCCAATATAGGTAAACCTAAACAATCATTTTTATATATACATAGCTTGTTGGTTTCCGAGATATACAGTGTGTCAAAGTTTTTTAGAAAAAAGTTTTAATGAGAATAAAACTTGAATGTTGATTCGCTTTCATGAGTTATACTTCTCTTTCACATGATAATATTATAAGTATCCATGGTGTAGAGAAGGTCTGGAAAAAAATGGACGTCGACAGGACGTCCCTGCAACGTCATGAAACTGACGTTCACTCGACGTCGAAACGATTAAGTGATTATCACGTCATAGAAAGTACGTCATAAATTGGTGTGTGTGTCGTCTCTGACGAAAAATCACCAATTAGGGACGTCACAGTGACGTGATCATTCTTCATCTGGTTGCCTGGGAAGTTTCGAAGTTTCAATAAGGCACCACTGGGGATTTTTAAAACTTTCTAAAGGGCATATTGTTAGGCTTGAAAATGTGCAACTTAATTTACCCATCTTCATATTTCCCTTATGGTTTCCAAAATCCCCATGATATACATCCTTATCTTAGACACAGTGTATATGAACTCATAGATTAATGACTCCCCTGAACTGTATTTGAATAAAAATTATACTGGCTTTGGGAAGATATTAAAAAAAAATGAATTTCATAGATGAGTGGCGAAAATAATACAATAATTATTTTTTTCTATTTGGATAAACAAGGCTGATAAAAATGAATTAAACAAGATGAAGGGTCTAGCCTGGAAAATGAATGTTGGTTCTTGAAATTTTGTGGTACAATATAGAACTATGTTTTATGGATGATACTGTAGAGAATGAAAAAAAATTTAATTCAATGTTGATAAAGGTTATATTTGCAGTAGGTCACATAATATATTTCTATCACTAATAAATAGTGAAAACTTCTTAACCCTCACTATGGATAAATTCAAGAGTTGAAAATGCATTGAATGAATAGAAAAATATGTAAAAACTAGATATTCCTTCAATTTTCTGAATTTTTAACATAATTTTGGGAACTAAAAGTGAAAACCCACATGCTATGTAGTTAATTATTGAACATGTATTTACCAAGGATTGTTTCTCAAAAAAGCAACACAATTTCACTTTCCACAGGAGGACATTGTGGTGCAAATTCTCTACACCAAACCTACATGTTCCAAAAATCCAAGAAATTGAAGGATTTCAGAAATTTTTCTGTGGAGACATCAAGATCTCTCATTCTTCTCAAGTTTCATTGAACCTCACCACAAGAACAAATAGTTATTTTTTCAGTAGGTTTTCCACTTTTTGCACCACACCTCTCCATTCTCTTGACTACATCCATACCACTGATCACATGCCCAAAAACAACATGCTTCCCATCCAACCAATCTGTTTTTGCAGTGCATATAAAAAATTGGGAGCCATTTGAGTTTGGTCCAGAATTGGCCATAGAAAGAGTCCCTGGTCCCACATGTTTCAATTCAAAATTTTCATCTGCAAATTTTCTGCCATAAATTGACTTGCCACCAGTCCCATTGTGATTAGTGAAATCTCCACCCTGACACATGAAATCAGGGATGATTCTGTGAAATGAGCTGTCTTGAAATCCATATCCCTTCTCATGGGTACACAAACACCTGAAGTTTTCTGCAGTACGTGGTACAACATCAGCACGCAGCATCATTGTAATCCTGCCTACCTCTGCCTTTCCAATCTTAATATCAAAATAGACCTGTGGATTCTTAACTTTTTTTGGTTCCTGTTTTGTATCAGTTTCACTTTCAGTCTGCTCTTGTGTTTCAACAATCTCCCCAATTTTTTTACCAATAGTTTCACCTGCATGTTGTTGCAGCCAAGTATCTTCTGACCATACAGGTCTTGTAGATCCCTCTTTTATCCTCTGTGGTTTGGCCAAATTGACTCTGATAGTTCTACCAAATAATTCAGAATCGTTCATGTTGTCTATGGCTGCTGCTGCATCTTCTGCACTTTCGAATTCGATAAAAGCAAATCCCCTGTGTTTCTCTGATTCATAGTCCAATGGGATCTGTACGTCGATGATATCTCCGAATGGGATGAAAGCTGCGTTCAGTACCTTTTCATCGACTTCCTCTGCTAGACCGCCTACATAGATAGTACGTTTATTATTTGAGCTCATAATTCATCCTTTTATATCCAGAATAAGATGCTTTTTGAACACAACTCCAAGACAAGAAAGGTCAACAAAATTCAAATTTATGTCAGTACTGTTAAGATGGCTACAACTGTCAGTAGCAAATTATTTTAGGTTAGGATGTTATAGATTTTACACGAATTCGTTTGGCCCAGACATCAGGTTTCTTGGGTTGATCCGATTGATCGGATGCGGATCCCTAACCCTGAACTGCCTAAACCAATGACAGCTAAATACCTAGACTGTCTGACGGGTTATTATACGGTATTTTTTCGCGAGATCCCGTTGTTTTGCCGGGAACTGATTCAGTTCCCGATGCATTTTCGCGTCATAACGGTAATAGGGGAGAATGATAATGACGTCATCAGTAACGTCACAATTTTTAAAACTTGAACTGTTTTAGATCCTGCATCTGTGATCATGGTTACTGGCGGTTATAGTAATTGACAAGTGACATTGTATCATTATCTTCAGAGTATTATGTTATTATCAGAAGTAAACATATTTATAATTATTCAAACTAGATTTGAAATAGCTACTACTCACTTCTTGAATCAAGAAATGGAAGAACACCACCTAAAAATCATCTATCATTGACAGTACTGTTGGGAACATTTTGAGATAATTTTTGTTGAGCCACCGGACTGGCCGGACCCAACGATTATGCGACCAAAATGCAACTGTTAATTTATTATGATCGAAAACAAAAACCCCGGCTGACAGAAATCTGAACGGTTAACCAGTTCATTCTCGTGAGAAATCAAAGGATGAACGGCCCTCGGTTTTTTTTTTGGTGGGGGTATAACCGCTCTATTACCGGTGTCTCGCGAAAACTCAAGAGATTTGTGCGAGCAACGAGCAAGGAAACACGGGGGATATTGATCTGGAACTGAAGTTTGTGCAAAACGAATTCATGCTGTTCCGTCATCTGTCATTGTGTCATCTGAAATGTTTCTCGGATTCTTTGAGGTTAGGTAACCTTAATCTCTTTCATTTCCATTTTGCTTTCGAAAAAGGCAGAGTTGTTTGAAATGTCTGATAGTGAAACTGAAAAGGAACAAGAAGCAAGTGATAATGAATCCGTTGTAGAAGAGTCAGCGGAAATTAAAAATGAATCTGAAGACAAACCCGTTTCTTGGAAAGATTTGGTAAGTTGTAAACGCCAAACACGTGGTGCACGTGGCATTGTTCCTACAATGATGTATTAACAGGGTCTCGTAGATATTCTTTGCAAAGCATGTGAACAATTAAAATGGAAAGAACCATCAAAAATTCAGAGAGAGTCCATTCCTGTTGCTTTACAAGGAAAAGATGTGATAGGATTAGCTGAAACAGGTTCTGGGAAAACGGCTGCATTTGCTCTACCTATACTACAGTCTCTTCTTCAGAACCCACAGAGATATTTTGCACTCATTTTGACTCCAACCAGAGAATTAGCATTCCAGATATCTGAACAATTTGAGGCATTAGGTGATTATCAATATTTTGCTTTTAAATATGGAAGTGTCAGCAAACTATACTTTTTATAATAATAATAATAATAATAATAATAATAATGGATTTTATTGACAGGTATAGGTAAATACAAAATAAATGAAAAATGATAGAGCTGAGAACTGTATACCTATCAAACGGCAGAATTCAAGTTCAGATCATTTCACCAGTGAAAGTGAAGTAATCAGAACTTGCTCTTCCATTATCTAGAGTGCCGACCATACACTGGAATACATTATACATTCTTTCTGTATGTGTATTGGCCGCTGGCCGGCAACCCAAAAAAAAGAATAGTATGCTGACTGTTCAGCAGTCTATACTTTTTTCTGGAATGCTGACCCAGTCAGCAGACTATACTTTTTCTCTAGACTGCCGAACATTCAGTGGAATACATTCTTGTGAATACTCAATGATAATGGTCTGTTCATGGAATATCATTTATATTTAATTTAATTTAACAACTCTAATTAAATGTAAGGTGGAATACATTCTTGTGAATACTCAATGATAATGGTCTGTTCATGGAATCTCATTTATATTTAGTTTAACAGCTCTAATTAAATGTAAGTTGAATGAGATTCTATGAATGCATCTTAGTGAAAGGAATGCTTGAATTCTTAAGATGAGTGATGAGTTGAAATTAAATATAAATATTTTCTATGAACTGACCACAAAAAAAAATCCAAGATGGTTAGTAGCTCGGTGGTTAGACATTGGCTTGTCTATCCTGTGGTCCCATGTTGAAATCCAACATGGAATAGTTTTTTTTTAATTGTTTTTTCATCAGATTTTTGTTTCACTAATTAGTCTGTTTGGGTTGAGTATACATCACTTTCTTTTCATATTTTATTTTTTTCTCATTCATTTTTTTTTATCAGGTTTTTGTTTTACCAATAGGTTAGTGTGTTTGTGTAAGTATATCTCTTGAATAATCAAAGGTATATCTAATTTTTTTCATCAAATCATGTTTTTTCTTCTTCAAAAGTGATAACTTTAGTCTACTGGTCAGCTTGCTAAACAAAGAGTATAGTCTGCTGCATGGTCAGAAGCTTAAAAAAAGTATAGATTGGTAGGCAGTCTATACACTTCCTCAATAAAATCTATCATTATTATTACTTTTAATATTATTATTATTATACATATAGGAATTAGCTAATTCAGATTGATTCCTAGGTTCCAGTATAGGGGTGAAATGTGCTGTTATAGTAGGTGGAATGGACATGATGTCACAAGCTCTAATTTTAGCAAAGAAACCACACATTCTTATAGCAACACCAGGAAGACTCTTAGACCACTTGCAAAACACAAAAGGATTCAGTTTGAGAGCTTTGAAATACCTTGTCATGGATGAAGCTGATCGAATTCTGAATATGGATTTTGAAGTTGAAGTGGATAAAATTCTGAAAGTTATACCTAGAGAAAGGAGAACTTTCTTGTTTTCTGCTACTATGACAAAGAAAGTCAAAAAATTGCAGAGGGCTTGTTTGAATGATCCAGTTAAGGTTGAAGTGTCTACAAAATATCAGACTGTAGAGAAGCTGCAGCAGTACTATATCTTCATTCCGGTCAAATTCAAGGTACAGTTGTTGGCACTTATCAAATTTGATAAATTGAAAACTAATTTAATGACATGATGTATACAACAGTGATTGATTCATGATGAAATCATTAATTTTTTATTCGTCACTACCTCTGATCTTCTCCTTGCAAATTTTAAATTCCTGAGGCTTTGAATATATTACTTTCATATTCCAACTTCCCTTTTTAGGATGTGTATTTAGTCCATATTCTCAATGAAATGGCTGGAAATAGTTTTATGATATTTTGCTCTACCTGCAACAATACAATAAGAACAGCTTTGATTTTGAGGAATTTGGGTTTGACAGCTGTGCCTCTGCATGGACAGATGTCTCAGAATAAAAGATTAGCTGCACTCACCAAATTCAAGGCAAAAAATCGATCCATATTGATATCCACTGATGTGGCCAGCAGGTGGGTCAAATTAAATCTTGGAATTTTGTTTGAAATTTTCAATAAACTGTAAATTCTATCAATTTATAAAGTTAGTGGATTTAGGCACTTACTTTTTGTATACATATTGTTTTCTGTTGAATAATTTTTCAACCAATCATGAATTTTTCCCCATTGAGAATAATTTATTTAACCTGGCATCACCCAGGTGGAAAATGTACATTCCCACCCAGATGGGGTCTGATGTACCCATAATTATAAACTAGAGGAAAAAAAATCAATTGTAATATTTCCAGATTTGTATGTTAAATGAGTTTTTAGATGTATTATTCACTTCATGGTTATAAACAGAAACTTTTTAAAATAAGTTTTAATTCATGAGATATCATAGAAGACATATAGATGGTGAAATTCTCATGGGTTAAAAACATTATATATTTGAAAACTGTTTGAAAAATATACAACACTCAATTCTGAAAGATTTCATGCAAAACTAATTATTAAAATGTTCAAGTTATCAGCTAGGAAAGTAACATGTAGTATGAGAAAGAAACAAAAAATGATCCATTTTCTTGTGGGAATTTACCTGTATCTCTTAGAATAGAATATACAGGGTGTCCGGAAATTATGCGCAAACAATCAAGGGGGTGATTCTACATAATGAAATAAGAAATTCATTTCATATGAACCTAGGTCCGGAAATGCATAGTTTTCAACATACAGTGTGTTGAAACTTTTAGAAAAGATCGTTTTTTTATGAATATCTCAAATGTCTTTCCACCGATTTCCTTGAAATATGGCGATGCTATTTCTTGTCATGAGGGGCTGATATACCCATAATTCAATTGGGATCTTGGAATCCAGTGGCGTCCCAATGGGCAACCTACCGAATATTATTGTCAATAAAATGTGCGCCACTGGTGTTTTTGAATTCTGTATCTTCATAACCTATTGACCAACTAAAAATACAACATTTTGGTATCTTGAATTGTTTTGCTATTTTGCTGCGTTTCCGTGGAAAAAAATAAATACCAATTCATTGTATGAATTTGTGCAAAATATTGCTTCAAAAACAGGGGTGACATTGAATGTGTGATCCATGTCCATAGACGTAGAATAAGAATGAAGAATAATTATCTTCATATATTTTATAATATATGTTTGACACACTCTACACTCAGTATATTGAGAACTATGTATTCTCGATCCAGGAAGGCGTAGTTTTCGATAATACAAAGTGTGTCAAACATGTATTATAAAATATTTGAAGAAAATGAATCTCCATTCTTATTCTACGTCTATGGACATGGATCACACTTTTAATTTCACCCCTGTTTTTGAAGCTATGTTTTGCACAAATCTATTACAATGAATTGGTATTTATTTTTTTCCACGTAAACGCGGAAAAATAGCAAAACAATCCAGGAGATCAAAATGTTGTATTTTTAGTTAATCATCAGGATATGAAGATGATGAATTCAAAAAAATCAGTGGCGCACATTTTATTGACAATAATATTTGGTAGGGTGCCCCCGGGACGCCACTGGATTTCACAATTCCAATTCAAATTATGGTTGAATCAGTATGAGGCGCCGTTTGGTTCATAATTATTTTTTTCGATATATAGACATTTTAACTCAAAATATAGAAATAATCCTATATAATATACGAACTCATCAATATTATATGCAAAATTTCTTATATCGTGTGAAAAATGTTCTATATATTTTGTTACGTAGTATACTGGGCATTAATTTACAAACCTCATTTGGGCTAGGTAAAGGCGGGAATATTCTTTTCGATCAGATCCACAAGAATTTTTGATTTAACGTGCAACAGTTGTGCCCTATGATTGCTGGAAAATGAATAAACATATAGTGACAACTAATACACGGCTGACTAGCGGGCTTTCGTGGGTTCTCTGTATAGTTGGAAAAAAAAAATCTATATACAATAATTGTTGGATTTCTGTCCCTTTAATTCACTTTTTACGAAGGATTAATTAACAATAGATATTGTAAACCTTCACCGTAGGAGATGGACTTTACAAAGATGCAGGGAATATTCAGATAATACTGTGTGTCCACCAAAGTATTGGTTTATGAACTATGATATAAATTACCTAACACATAACCATATTATGGGTTGGTTGATTTAACGCAAGGGTGATCACTCTTGGGTTACCTAAGTTGTATACATAATTTCCCCTTGAATCAATGTTCGCCTGGTCGTAAATTACAGTCTGATAATACAGCCCTCAGGCTACCTATTTGAAAGCACTAAGATAATAATTGGAAACACGCAATGCACACAAAATAATAATTATTATAACCGAGATTATCGCTCATCAAACAACAAAATTAATAATAAATGAGAAAACCCAATCCCCAGATACACTTAGCTGTACAAGTCCGAAGCTGCTCATAGGGTGAATTTGGCCACTTAGTAAAGCCCTTATTTTTCACTCTCTCACAAGGGGTTTTCTATCCAAAAGATACCGGCCAGGTAGAAGAGAATATCCTCAATTGATGTGAGGTACTGACGCAGTCCAGATTCCTCTAGGACGCTTGAGAAGGGGTACTTGAACCCGGTACTTGAAAGCCCTACGGATGGGAAATGTGTGATTATTGGAATGTGACAACTGATTATCACGGACATAAAACAAAAAAGAACAAACAAAAGTAACAACAATGAAAAAGGAAATACTCACGATGGTGTAAGGTGGCTTTGAAAGTGTACTAGAGGCTTTGATCCAGCGTGCCTTCAGCCTTAAACCGAATCAATCGTAGGAGGAACAAAACGATATTTCCAGGAACTACTCCCTTTACAGCAACGTACGATAATATCGTCCTCCAGTGGCTATATTTTCGAAAATGTGAACCCACAATAATTAAGTGGAATATGTCGAAAACAATTTTCACTCTCAAAAAAAAATGGCTACCATAGATCTACACACCTCAGTCTCTTTACCAGAAGCCCCTAGCCGATCGTCCCCCGAAATTATTCCCACCAAAACGAAGCATTTCGCGCCAAATTGGAAAACATAGTCGTCTCAGTCCTAAATGAAATAATGGGTGATTTTCTGAGTACATTTGAAGTAATTATCCTTACGAAGAGGTTAAGAGACTAGAGTTTGAACTCCTTCAAGCTCTTCCAGAAGAATGTAGAGTGTTAAATGAGAAAAATTCGTCAATTATACTTATAATTAGAGGAAAATCCATAGATACGCCCCTGACTCAGGCACCTAATTCCCAAGGTGAGAATGCCGAGATCGATGACAATCGATTGTCAAAACTGTCCACAATCCGTCACTCATGTGACATTGATTTATTGATTTATTACTAATGAAGGAATAAAAATTGATAATAGAAACAATGAATTACTCTACGAATTTTAATCCAGCAACCAAATGAACGGACAATTAGAGTGAAGGGTTAGTGCGATCGATGTAAATAACAAGAGTCAGGTGAGTCTTTAACTTATGCTTCACCTAAATAATTCATTCTTCCGTTGATGATCGAAAACAATAATTCTAACCTTACTCTGTAGTGATAATGTCGATGTGAGTTTATACTAAATGAGACAAGATCACTATGTTGAAAATTTAACTGTAACAGCTCCCCGTTTTCCCCCCAGGAGAATTACCTAGTAATTCTCCTTAAAAAAAAAAAAAAAATCAATATATCTCTATATTTTTATATAGTCCGCGGTAGCGATAGAGAATGATAACGTATGGTGTATTGGTAACCGTAAATTTCTTACGATAAGAAACTAAATGAAAAACACACTTGTGTGGTTTTACTTCACAATGACAAGAATAGTTTAGTCCGACTCGCTATCTGAGTCTGGTGGTTTCGCCTTCAAATCTTTGACGTGCCAAGTTCCCTTCGGAACCTTGTTCTCATCCTCCAGCTCGTACGTCACTGGGGATAATTTTCGTTTGACTGTGAATGGACCACCAAACTTTGGAGCCAATTTGGACGTGAACTGATTAGCAGCATTAGAAAGAAAATGATTTTTCCGATAAACGATATCGCCGGGTGAGTAGTTCACTGGGCGGCGGCGGAGATCGTAGCGGGACTTAGATGAATTATGAGCGCGATTCAAACGTTTTTGGACGTCTTGGTATACCTTAGACATTTCTTCAGACCGGGATAACAAATCTTGTGAGGTTTGAGTTGCCAATTCAGGCAATGTCTGAAGGTGACCGGATCCAATGTACTCCCGAGAAAAATTAATGAAATAAGGGGTGAGACCAGTAGTCTCGTGCACAGATGAGCGAATCGCGCAGCCAACTTTTGGTAACAGTTTATCCCAGTTCGTATGGTTGTCTTCTATGTAACAACATAACATAGTTTTTAGAACACCGTTCACTCGTTCTACTGGGTTAGCTTGGGGATGATAGGCAGGCGTGAAGATTATTTCTACCTTATAGGACTCGCATAACTTAGTGAAAAGGTGACTGCGGAATTGGACCCCGTTATCACAAATAACATGCCGTGGACAACCATACATGAGAAAAATTTGTTCTTCCATAATCTTACATACTGCAGCCGCAGTAGCCGTTCGCAATGGAAAGAAAAGAGGAAGTTTGCTGAAAGTGTCTAATACGACAAACACAAAACGATAACCCTGGGAGGATCGCGGTAAGGGACCGAAGAGGTCAATGCTCACCAGTGACCATGGTTTTTCTGGGGTGGGATGCTTACCTAGAAGTCCAGGCGGAGGACGTAGGACCGACTTATTTGCTAGACAAGTTGGGCAACGACGGATGTAACGAGTAACGTCGGCCCGCATTTTGGGCCAGTAATACTTGTTCTTAATTCGCTCATAAGTTTTGAAAATACCCGTGTGACCAGCCGTAATATCATCATGATTACTTTCAAGGACGGTGCGACGTCTGTCTTTAGGTACGACTTCTTTCCAGAAATCAGACTCCTGTCGTAACCCCGGGTACGAACATGCGACATATTTATATAGCTGTCCCTGATGACAACGCCATTGAGGGTAATTCAAGGGAT